GCTAGGCCTACCATCCACACTAATCCGTCACGAAAACGGAGTGTTTCGAAACCCTCAAACCGGAGGAATTTGAAAGAACCGGCATTTCGTTTTCGTGTGGAAAAAACCATTTTGAATACGGAGCTTCTCGAAAACGATGACGTCACGATAGTCATGTTCCCTGACCGAGTTTTCCTCAGACACAATTCCAAAATGACCGGTGGCTGTTGCGTTTTGAAATTTCCCCTCGAAGTGTGGAGTAAAACATTTGATGGGTTGATCAGAGTCAAACCTCCATTTTCAAATTCATCCGGCTTAGTGTGGATTGGGCCTATCGTCTGCAGCATTTAAACTTGGTTACAAGCCTGTGCACATAAAATGACAAGCCAAATGGACTAAACCCAAGCAACAGCTCTATAAGAAATACCTTATGAAAGCAGACACCTTAGATAATTTTGCGGTGACTGATATTCCGCAGTATGAAATATGGCACAGATAATAATCGGCAGTGGTACTGATCCACTTAGAGTATTTTTAAAGAACGAAGCTTTGGGATATGCCTTAAGGATACAAGGATCCATCCCCCTACAAAGTTCTTGAACATATGCTGATTTGATCAGGCACAAGTCAGCTGCAGTGGTTCCGGGTGATATGAAAATTCTTCGTCCCATGGAATGAGCTTGAGTGAATTGAAATTAACAGGCCGGTAGGTGGACGTGAATTTCATCCACTTTCCATTGTTAATGATTTCTTTTGAGATGTGGAAATGATACCATAGATTCAACTCCACCAAGTTTGAATCCTTACTTATCGTCTATATCATTCGTAGCATGTTGTGGTTAAATCTATACCAGTCCACATATATGTTGTCCGGCATAATGTCGAAAGTAGACAACAAGAAGAATTCTATTTATTTTTATTGCTATACTTATCTATTTACTTTTTTTGTCCTATGGAACCGTTCATTGAAGACTAAGGAGCTCACCAATCAAGAAATAAAGGACGCCCTGAGAGCTAATAACTGCACAAGTGTGGCGTTTGACGAGGTAAAGCAAATTACAAGCGCGGATCAACATGCTTGAAATGCTTAAATACCTATCAGAAGATAAGAACTGCACTTTTATCCAAATGCATTTTAGAAAACACCTTGTAGAAAAGTGAGCTATAAGCCGTACTTCTTTAAGGCCCATAAAAACAGAAACCTAGCTTGAGCTGTTGACATAAAGGCGTCAGCAAAACGAATTTACTTTTTCATAATCAAAATAAACTAGAATTTTCCCTTTTTTTCTACAGAATTTGCTATAAAAGAAATGGAACACATTTTCGCAGTGTTTCTATCATCATAGCAACTAAAACATTCGCGAAAGCAAAGGAAGAGCTCCGGAAGAAGTTTGGAAAAAAAAACCGCCTGCGGGTTGTGTTCCCATAGTATTTCTCGTTCTAATATGTTAGAAATACACGCAATTAAAATGTGTCCTGTCTCTTAAATATTGTGTCTGAAAAAGCGATACGTTATCAGTGCTAGTTTGCTTGAGGTGGTTTGTTACAATATTGCGCATAACGGCCGGTGTCAAAACTCTATTCGTAGGCACCTTTTATCGTAAATTTTACTTTGTTTTGTTGGCATGCATGCTTGTAGATCAAGTCCCATTCTTCTATCTTTTTTTAGGGGACGGGTGTGTTCGTTTATAACCAAGATATGTCAAAGGAATCTATCAGGCACGAGAAAATTCAAAGCAACATGGAGCTAATGCTGTTATGTATTTCAATATCAGCTGTTATTCTGGCGCTCATACTGCTGACAGCATTGAGGTAAAACAAACATTATATCGAGCCATTTTCTTGGCCAACTGTAATACGTGTGTCAGTTTTCAAGGTGGAGCAGGGAATGACCCAGCACTTAATTAGGAGTCACCAATCGGATAGTAGGCGGGCTTAATGTTAGAAATATTCGGCCTGCACTGCCATATTCGGCCTCCTTCCCGTTCAGCAGCAACGCTAACTCCCATCTTAGCTTTCAAGTTTTCCTCCACCTCACCAGCTCCAGCCAAATATCTTCTGGTTCGATTTGCCATTTGGTGTTTATTTTCGTGTCCCTTCTTTGTCGAAGATACCATCAAATACGAGAAATACTTTAATTTGGTTATTTGAGACAAATAAACGCCAGACAAGTGGCCATATTTAAGCCGGAACAGTGAACGACAATTTTTTGTCCAAGTTAAACAAACAAGTGATACGAGAGCATTCCCCAACCCCATCCGCAGAGTAAAATTGGAACGAGATAAAAAAAAACAAACAAACAAACTAGATGTGGAGGTTCACGAAACACGACTTATAAGTTGCAAGATAGGAAACGGATGCCAAGTTGGAATCTATAGTCACAAAGTTAACATGAGATTGATTCTATTGCACAGGCTAAAAACGTCAGAGAGGCTGTTTATACACAAGAATCTCCTCTTGTCCCTGGGCCTTGGAAATCTCGTATATGTTTTGGACAAAAGCTTGTTTGCTTCAAGACGGGATCATGTGGTATGTAGAAAAGTTCGAAAATCCTGCTTCAAACAAATAGCGTCTTTCACTCGTGATCTACTTTTAAACTGCAGTTTGAAAGAAAAAAGAGAATAGAAACTGAAACTTTCCTGCTGACCAGACAGAAAGAACCGTCACGGCAGATATTAATTCATATAACATATGTATTTAGGCAGGCCTAAAAGTGGAGCTCCTGATTACAATAAGTTAATCTCGCTTGCATTCCAATCGAAAAACCAGTACCTGGTTTAAAAACAGATCTCCATAAGCTTTAAAGCTGAGCCCACAATATGGTCACGTGATTCTGGTCAGCAGATACCTTCTTTTGACGGTGTCAATTGATCGTAAATTGAATGTTCAATATCATAGATGTATGCTGTAAACCAAGGCTGTGTGCCTTGGTCGACCTATAGTTGGAGTATGGCCGCCATGTTGAGCGATGTTGTCGTCGTTTTTCGTCCTCGTTGGGTACACGCGCCCGCGATCCATGCCGCTAGCCATTTTGACCATGGAAACCGAGTTGCATGGTTTTCTATCATGATTTTTACGTATACATGTAGTTCTCTTCCTATAGTTGTGGTGCTCCGCTTGGCAACCCGTCCGGGGGGCCGGAGCTCCGCAATGAAACAATGGCACACGACTATTGCAAATAATTGTTCGCTTTTCCAGGCCCTATGTTCGACAGTGACAGTCGTTCAGTTCTTCTTTCACACTGCACTGTTCGCGTGGATGCTTGTAGAAGGAATAAACCTGTACATCAAGCTGGTTAAAGTCTTCTCAGTGAAAAGACAGTACGTTGCATACTTGGTTATAGGATGGGGTAAGTATTCATTTCTTACGATTTTGAAGATAACCTTTCTGTATTCATTTCCTAATCGAGAATAAAAGAAGAAATGTATAATACGTATATCCACCCTTTAGTGAGTTGAAGTCAACGAAGCACTCTTCGCAAAGTAAGCGAAGAATTATATGAGAATATAACAGACTCTATTTTTTCCCTTGTCTCTCTTACCCCAGGATTTCCGGCAGTCATAGTTGGATTAATAGCAGCTATAAGACCCAGTACCTTTGATATGGGAAAGGCTCCATATAAGGACATCACGTGTGGCTCATTAAACTTTACTGCTGAGATACAGCGCACCAGGTATGATTCTTTTCTTATGCTGAAAGCAGTCATCCAGACTTTCGGGTAGTCCTGGTGAGGAGCTTGCACTTATCATCTTCGCGCTCTTGGTACTCGTGTTTTAGAACTTTCTCGCTCCCAGCATATCATAATTTCTAGACTTTCTTTCATCGGTGCATAGTTAGTAACTATGATCGGTGCTGCGTTTGGCGCGATACATGAGAACCTCGCCACGACTACGACCACGCCCAAGCCGCCAAACACAAAACCACTCAAATGCAGTATGAAATAAAATAAGTCCAAAAGGTGCAAAGCTGAAATCCATAAAATAATTGTGATTTGACTAATTGTGACACGGTTATATTACCAAGCATTTTACTTAGCAACGGCTAAATACCTACTAACTTAAGACCAGTAAATCGGCCCGTAATTCAATGCTATTATTTTTATGTTAATGTGACATTAACTATGAAACTAAAATCACCTGAAAGAAAAACGAATTGAACTTACATTGGCTTGTCTGGACGACTGGTCAAAAAAAGAGCAGACGACGACTTTCATTGAAAAAGAAAGTGCAATGCTATGCTGCAATATGTCGTTCTTCTGTCTTTTTACAGATGCTGGATAAACGGAAGTCTATGGATTTATAAAGGACCCATTCTAGTCATACTTGTGGTATGTGAAAGAGTTCATTAACCCTTGAACGTTCATGGCGACACAATCCAGCATCCCAAGATCGACCAACAGTATAAACAATAAGAGTTCCATCACTCATAGCTTCCCCTATTTGAACTTGCCTCGAAACCCTGGTTCAATTATTAGAGAATTGCCTAGTATAACGTTTTTCAGGTTATTTTTAATAAATAAATAAATTAATGAACTATTTTGTTTCTGGCAGGCAAATATGATGTTGTTTGCGATTCTTCTCCGTGTAATCTTTGGGAAAATAGCTAGCAAATACAGCAACGACCACTTGAAAGTCACCAAGTAAGCTGATATAATAAAACTAACGCGTCCTAACAAACCATAGTTAAACTAAAGTCACTGAAGAAAATTTAATAGAGGAGCTTCTTTTCTACTACATATATAAGGAATACATGTGGTTTTGTAACAATTTAAATATTCGGCGCTGAAACATATTATTTCATAGTGTTATTATCACTTATGCCTTGACTTCGGCTTAATAAAACGAACCTGTGTGAGGACAACACATCTACGAGAGAACACCCAATACCATTATTTTGACTCTAAGTTATTTTGTCTTAGAAGTTAAAGGTAAAAAGTGTGACATGATCGATCTATTTCTAAGCCGGCTCCGGTACTACCATAGCGTTAACAGGCTGTTCCACGCAGGCAGATGTCGACAGATGGTGTCTTGCTTTTTTAATTAAAACTGTTGTCTTTTCAGTTCTCCACAGTATCGAGATTTCAATAGCTGAACGCAAAAGCATGTCAGTTTTGTGTAGAAGGAACACGAGCTTATATGTTTTGTTCACTAAAGAAATTACATTTAATTTTATTTGTTTTAACAACGCCTCCCATATTCTCAAACTTCACAGGAGAGGTCTAAGAAGCATTGTCGCCCTACTCCCCTTATTGGGTGTCACATATGTAGTGGGCTTTTTTATCGAGTTCCATCTTGCTTTGGGATACGTTTTCATTTTGCTCAACTCCACACAGGTATGTTTTTGTTGTTGTTGTTCTTTGTTACTCACCTGAATTAAGGTATGGGTTTCGCTTTTATATGATGTTTTGATCAGGTTTTTCTAGATTTGGTCTTTTTCTTCAAAAAACGAAACGGCCCCTAATTTTTTATCTAGATGTGAAATAAAACTTTCTGATGTTTAACTCAGTTTTAAGTGGTTACGTGATTAATCATGCCCTAAATATATGACCCTTCAAGTCTTAAGATGTAACTTAAAGGGTAACAAACTAACCTGGCTATACGTCATCCTAAACGGGGATTTTGAAAAAATGTTAATTGTTTCGTTGTAATATCATGGCACGTGAACAAGCTGCAAAGTTCTTGAAACTAATAATGAAATTCTTCGTACAAATACTTCACCCTATGCAAGCTTGTGAGCGATATCTGAAATATAATTATTTTAAGTTAGACCACCCTTCCAAAATATAGAGAGACCCTTTCCTTACTTCACTTGAGTGTTTGCTTGTTTTCTTATCTCTACATATTTTTGTCTGAGTTACTTGTCCTTTTGGAAAGGAAGCTAGAGTCAACGAGCCACGCCGATAACTATGCTTGCTGAACTTTTAAAGCTTATGACTGCGATCCAAAAGAAAAAAAGGAAAAAAAAGAAAGAAAAAGAAAAAAAACTGTAGTGATACTAAGATACCTTCTTTCCGCAATTTGAAGGCACAGATTGGCATAACTTCCTCATTCCCTAGTTTATTTTTTATGTTTTTTGTTGTTTTTTTGTTCGTTTGTTTCGTTTCTTTGCTTTTTAGCTAGAAACCTTAATCTGTTCTAAAACAAGAACTGCAAGGTTGCCTGAGGAAATTTTATTCATGTCAACGTCTTTAACTAACTTGCTCTTCTGCGTTGTTGCCGTTGTATTTCTACAGGGAGTTGTGTTTTTCATCTTTCATTGTGTCCTTGATGACCAGGTAACATAAGTCAATGGTGTGCACGGGGGGACTCATGTTTCGGGGTTAAGGAAGGATGCCATCGTCATCCTGAGAGTTTTTCTTCAGAATTTTGAAAAGACTATTTACTACGCAATGTTGAAATTTTTAATACCTGTTCATTCATCCCTCAGCGAAATTTTGTGGTGTCAGCTGGTTCTCTGCCCCACTTAATGTTACCATTTTAAAGAGGAGAAATTACAATAAGCAATAACCAAAGTTTCTTCAACTGAAATAATGATTCTGACAGCAAACTTTCACAGAAATCTTTTCTAGACTTCATACCAACAAAAGGGAGGTTATTTAAAAACTCTTAACCAACGTCATAACACAATTTGAACCATCACTATCACTTTCGCTGATCAACAAATTCACCAGAAGTTGAAGTTGAGTTATTTGAACTAACAGTTCCATTTTTAGCACAACACTCGCAGTTACGTAACAGATTATCCTAGAGATTTCAAACGATATATGCACCTGAAAAACAGCGGAATTGAGATGGGAAGTTTAACAGATGATCAACCAACCCCAGTTTGCATAATCTGATTCATCACTACAACCCCGTAACTTGCTCACGCAATCACGAGTTGAAAATTGATTCAAGATGGCCAAATAAAGAGGGGAATACTGTAAAGAAACACCTTTTTGTTTTTTCAGAAACAATGCCGCTGTCGTCGAACCTTTCAACCAATCGTGCTCACCTAATATAAAATGCACAGGAAAACGAAACAAGTACTAATTCATATTTCAATGTCTTTAAGCTTCGCGATGCTACTCGGAAGTTGTTTGCAAAACCCAGAGCAGATTCTAAGACAAGAACAACACCAGCCTCCAATCCCAATACAACACCTGTTATGGAAAGAATCTCCAGAGTCAACATTCTACATGATTCTGGTACGCGTTAGATTCTCATGATCACATCTTGTGAAGGACCCCCACCATCTTGCCAGTATGATACTGATGTGCTTTACCGTAACATGGGTTAACAACTGTTGTTGTTGGTTTGTTGTTTCTACTGCTTTACTGAAACATGCATTTCTTTCTTCGATTTTTCTTCAAGATGTTTCTCATCTAGTGCAGTATTGACACAACACATATTCCGTCAAATTCATATTCATATTCCTTATACTATTTCCACCATTAAAAGTACCAATTTTCAACTCCTCTCAAAGAAATACTGTACTGCTGGAGCAGCTTAACAACGGCCCTAGTCGAAAATACCGAAAGGTATCATGAGTACTGTAGCCATAATAGTTTATCGTTACTACACTTGATTGAGGATCGCGGTGTCATAGCAACATGGAAAGATAAAGCATCAATTCACGTGTCTGTACAGTTTTCTATCACGCCGAAAAAAAGCTTCGATTGAGCTACAGTAAATTATCAATACCCACAATGCTTCTCGGCATTGTCGCATACACTTTGACCCTTTGAAAGACAGCCTCTTCGAAACCTTATATTTATAAATTCAGTGAATACATTTTTATCGCTTTTTCCCTTCCTACAGAGGACGGAAAGGAGACGAATGGTGTGACAATGAAGAATAGCACACAGAGTGAAACTTCATTTTAGAGAGAGAAAAAATATATATAATATATAATGCTTATACAGATGGATATTAAGTGTCTGAATACTTTTAGCAAGATTGTTATTTAATTATAGAGTAACAGTAGTCAAGAGTGGGCAATATATTTCTTTCTGTGTAACTTTCTATTGCCCTTGTGACGGTATTTTGCAATATAAGTACTGCATGTTTAAGATAGTAATGTAAGTTATGTTACGATTTTGTAAGCAATGAGTTACACGGTTCATTAGTACGCTGGTTTAGTTAGTAATGTTAGTATTTGTTAGAAGCCGTAGTATTGTCCCGATGGGGGAGGGGTACTCCCTTATATGGGCTTACAGGTATGTGCGGCCCCAAAGGGTATGGTTTTTCAGCCGTTTTCGTCATAAATAGGGCATCGATTTCAGCTGATCTTGGCCATTTTGGTCATAAATAAGGTATGCTTTTTGCACTCTAGCCTTGATATGGGTATGTTTTTAAGAAGAAGCCACTTTTTTCATCATTATCGAAAAGAAAATCAACAAAAGCCCTTCACAAATTATGTTTACGGTAATTTAACATTTGGACTGTACTAGGGAACTTATTATAACGTAGGTCTGAAACAGAGTTTTGATTTAAGGATGTTGAATATCGCAGATTTTTGTCATAAATAGGGTAAGGATTCTGGGAAGCGAGCCGCACACCCCCATCCAATTTTTCTGGGAGTACCCTCCCGGGAGTATTGTAAAAGTACTGTAAATAGCTGTAGCTGTAGCTTCGAAGTTAAGTCTATGCTGTACTGTTTTTTAAGTAGCTGGAGTATTGTAAGTGGTGTAACTGTCCTACTAAATGTAAATTTAAAAAAGTATGAGCAATGTCAATCGCTGTAATTTGTTAATCTTTCTCAACAATTCGCTATACGTTCAAAATATATCTGGCACTGTAAGCCACGAGTTTCTATACGAATGTTCGTCATACGAATATTCTAATTTACCTCAGGCAATAAAAGACTGAGGTATCGGCAATTTCTCAGCCGCGTAGAGTAGTTGTTTTGCCAAAGATTATTTCTGTAATGAAGGCGGGGGTGTGAACTGTATAGTAGTTATATAACACTTCTTATAGTAGCTGAAATAAAAGCTATCATCAATCGTTTTCTTTCCCATATTTCCAAGACGTTTCTTCAATCAATCCTAATTTATAGAAATTCGATATCTTCAACACAATCTTGCAACATTTCCTTTTTTTGTTTGTTTGTTTGTTTGTTATTTATCGCTTAACCGTATTTTAAGGTCTGTATGAACTTTAAGTATATCATGTTTTATTTGTTAATATGATTAGTCAAGCAAGGTTTATGTAAGAGCCCACAGTAATGTCCATGTCACCCTCGCGAAAATAAAACGAGCCTTGTGTAAACTTTACTTGGTAACTTCAGGCTATTTGCTTCTTCTCAATATGAAAAAGAAAAAAAAAAAACAATTGGTTTTAACGCTAAGACACTTTAAATAGACAGGGAAAGATCCATTTTCATAAGTGGAATATGCTTACTAGTAATCCAGGATAAATCTGTGTAACAAAGGTTTAGGGGCGCGGTTCTTTGAGGCGACGTAGACGCAATGATTCAGTGTCAATCCGTCACGCTAGGGCTATGTGTAACATTATGTATAATTATGTGTATATGTACTGGAAACAAGTAGATTTTAATCAAAGCTGATCAAGTGCTTCATGTAAATGATGAAATAAACATATTATTAGAAAACCGTTTATCTATTATTACTTAACTAGGAATATTTGTTCGCTCTTTGTATTTCCCGCCGTTTCTGTTTTTGTGGTTTAACTTTTAAATACATGAAATAAGAGATGCAAGTGATTAAATTTACTACACCGTGGTTTTACATTTCCACGCAAGATTGCCAGTCGTTCCAGCATTCACGTGACGTTGATATAGCACATTAGATAAAGGTTTACTCTTCATGCATAGGAGCCAGCTGGCTCATCAGGCTGGAGTTATATATCTCCTGTTTCTGTAGCATGGAGCGACTAGGAATATTCCTACTCCCCCCTCTCCTGGATAGAACGCTAGTCCATCGCAGGGTTACCCCTGCCCCCCAGCATTAAATTCGTCGGTACCTATTATACACCTGGGCGTAAAGAGCACTTTCAGAGACAAGTGTCTTACCCAAGAACACAACGCAATGTCCCTGCTAGGATGCGAACCGAGACCGCTCGAGTCTAGAGACGAGCGCACTAACAGTGAGGCCACCGCACCTCCCGGTTGATAGGGTAGTTAGTAAAAATCAAGATAAGCTGAAGGAATAGCTCTTATGAGACCACCCTTAACTGTGGCATTCCATCACCGTGGTCAAATTTTCCCAATCTTGTAATTTTTTTTCCCCTTCTCCGCGTCCTCATCCAAAAAAAAAATGGCTTGTGAGTTAAAAATCAAGCTTTCATTGTATCACCTCAAGACTAAATAAAGCTGGGCTTGTTGAGCCAAGAATACACAGGTGTTTTCACATGACGTCACGGCAGCCATATTGGTGTCCAGACATTGAAACGGCTGGACATATAATTCATTGTAGGTCACCACAG